AATAAACACCGTAAATATAAACAATATATCATCTTTTCCGATTCTCTTTCGTGTCTTCAGGCTATTAAAAATCTTTCTTGCAAACATCCACTTTTATTAGAAATTATTGAATTGTACAATGAACTTGCTACTGGCAAATGCGACATCGTCTTTTGTTGGTTACCCAGCCACGTTGGCATTTCTGGGAACACAATGGCTGATATTGCTGCTAAGGCAGCACTCAACAAATCTGTGACACAACTTCTGATCCCATACTCTGATTACAAAGCTTGCATTAGATCTTACATCCGTGATCTGATGCAAAAGAAGTGGGACACCCAAGTAGGTATTAATAAATTACATGAAATAAAATCCTATATCTGTTATACCTACTTGGGTTGTCAGTCCAGATTTGAAGAGGTCATCATGCGACGATGTCGTATTGGCCACACTAGATACACTCATGCATACCTATTGAAAGGTGAGGATCCTCCATTTTGTATCCCTTGTGATGAGAGAACCACGGTCAAGCATGTCCTGCTTGACTGTGTTGAATTCTCCATCATAAGGGGTAAATACTTCAATGTGAAAACAGTTAAGGATCTTTTTAACACTGTTAATTTTCATTTAATTATTGGCTTTTTAAAAGAAATTGATTTAATGAATGAATTTTGATTAATATGTTCTGTACATATATGTATTTTAATTATTGGTAGATTTGATTAGTAACTTAGATTGTGAGTGGCAGTGCCCTCAAAGGGGGTTGAAGTAGCGTAAAATTATTGTCCTCCTGTGAGGGTACGTAAGTCCCAAAACATTCAAAGTAAATTTAAACCTACTACTCTTTTAATCGTAGAATATATGTTCGTTTAATTTATGGCTAGATTATCTAACATTGCTAATAGCTGAGGGGATGGTGTAAATCCAGCTAGGGTCCATGCAGGAAGCCAATGTACTGTAAGTACCCATGGTCCCTAGTATGGTGATCTACCTTCAGTTGTTGGCAATATATAACAGGTTTTAACCTTGTATTGTCCTATAGTTAAACTGTTTTAGATTTGATTGCTAGTTTTAAATTCAAATCTGTGATAATCTAGTTATTTTACTGTCCTTCGTTGACAGGTTTTTATAGTTTGCTTTTGCTTATTATGCATAAAATTAATTGTTCTCGTCACGATATGGCTGAAATATTGCCGATGTGACGTTAAATTTTAACTCACTCACTCACTCTAAAATCAACTTCCTCTTCTCTAAATCCTCCATACTTGGGATCACTGATAATGTTGTCTGCTAGCAAGTAAACAAAAGGGGATAATTCTTCACAAACTAATGAAAAGAATTAACGGAGTTGTCTCTCTTGAATGAAACCACGCACTTGATATCTGGTCAAGGTTGTTTATACTAGAAATGCAATTAAACATATTCCTAAAATTCTCAATAATTTCTGGTCATACTATATTTGATTTACTTTTTGGCTTAAAGCGAAATTCATCGGTACGTTTTCACTGCAATCAGACTATAGTCAAAACGACACGGTAATATCTCGTGCAATGTCCAGTTTATAATGATGTCCGAAAGGATTTTTTAACTAAATGTAATGATCAGTGGCCTGATTTCAATGTACAAAATGATGATGTTGAACTACGTTTTATCCTGACCCGCCCAAATGTTGTACTTTGTAAGTGCCAAAACCTGCAAGGCCATTTTACATTTACTTAAGGATATTATATATATACTTTATAGTGCTTTTAACCCTTTATTTGTGTATATTATTCATTTTAGTTTTTAATTTGTATTTTAGTAAATTTAATTTGTACATTTCTAATATTTAAGCTCTCATAACTCCAAAAGGAGTGGCTCATTTTAATACCACATATACTTTTATGTGATATTTGAAGTGAGATGATAGTAAACCATATGTGCGTCTGTCTGTCCTTTGAACTTTTCCGTGTGCTTGCTGTGCAGTGAGTGTATCACACGGAAGTATTTAGTCAACGTATTCAATATTCAGGCCTGACAATATCGGTATTTAATATTTCCTCATGTGTGCTATTTAAAGATTACATTATTAATGTAACGTGTATGTGGGCGCACCGAGTTATTGAAAGGGATTTAGAATGGATAATATCTTCTTCTGCATTAAGTGAATTCACCCGATGTCAAAACAACAGTTAGCGTCGTGATACAGAATAAACATAAGTTGTTACCTCTATTGCCAGTAAACGTTGGGGCGTGGTGGGCGAGCTGGCCAAGGCGCCTGGGTAGTGATCCAGCGAGCATGAGGTGCCGGGATCGAGCCCACTTGTGAGTCAACATTGCGTGCAGACTCTTTCAGTGTTGTCACAACCCCTAGTGTACTATACACAACACTGTGCACTTAAAAGAACCCACGAATCCATTGGTATATGACCAGATGGTGGCCACATGAATACATGCAAACACCTATTTGTGGGTACAGCAACGTGTAGTAAACTTGGACAAAGTATTGTGACTATGTTTTCCAGTCCACCCAGCTGTGAATGGGTATCTCGTAATGATGGGAAAGCCGCAATAACTCGGTGCGCCCAGTGATTGATAATAAGATGTGTCGTTGAGATTGACATCCAATGATCGAGGGGAGAAAATACCAGCGCCTTGAACATGCACTTGTGCGTGGACATGTGTGCTATATAAATATCAAATAACAATAAACGTGTCATGTGATCACGTCAACGTCAGAGATTTATCAATATCGGTCATTCACCCAAACAGACTCCACTTGGCGCTGAAGTCCAAATACATGCACGGCTGCATCAGAAACTCCAGCCACTTTCACAACTTGCATACTAAGTAAGTGTTTGTTTGTTGCCTAACGCTGGAAGTAGGACTTACACCACATACCACTTTCTTGCAGTACTTATACAACATCCTTGCAGTACTTACACCACATACCACTTTCTAGCAGTACTTATACCACATACCACTTTCTAGCAGTACTTACACCATATACCACTTTCTTGAAGTACTTACACCACATGCCACTTTCTTGACTTGTAACTTAGTTGGAAGAAGATATTTTACTTCTGCATTGCAACTTTATTCTTCAGAGTTGTGGCCCTTAGTTGTGCCAGATCTTGTGGGTTGAACTCCCCATTCTTCACGTTAATTTATGTTTCTAGGTTTGTCAACTGCGACGTCGTGCTCCACCAGTGTAGTATACGTGTTTGACTTGTACAACTTCTGGCTTTCTTTTAATATCACGCTGACAAGTGGCGTTAAACCCAACTCACTCACTCACAACTAATATCAACTGAATCGCGTTATACTAATCTATGTTACTGGGGGGACACAACCGGCTGTGCGAAGGGGTGCGTGATTTTCATGCACGATCAGGGAGTTAAAAAAGCGTGACGTTTCGTATGACTGTGTGACCCAGCAAATGTCGTGTATTTCAGTGGTGTTGGTGGCAGAAATGCGGGAGTGTATTTTTGTATTGTATTTTTGATATTATTTCTTTGGAAGTGTGTGAATTAATTGAATATTGAGTGTTTTGTATCGCACTTCGAATGACATTCTGTGAAAAATGTGAATTTACTGTTTGAATAAGAAATGTAGTATTGGGTGATAATTTGACGGGTTTTGTTATACATTTGAATATTTGTGGGATAGTTGTACGGATATTAAATTGTATTAAGAGGTAAAAATAATAGTGTTATTGATGGTATAATGGGCAACTGAACAGATTGTGTTAAAAAGGCATAATACATAATCCTAGGACATATTAGTAAATACAAGTGGTTTGTATTTAAGCATCCAGGATATGGTGTTACAGAGAGCCTGTCATGAAGACCTATGGTTTGTCAACGATGGAGTGTTGAACTTGATATTCTTTAAGAGGGTGATGTGCTATGACCAGAGGGCAAGCGTAAAGATCACCAGGAGAAATTGCCAAGTTTGGAGTAGTGGCTATTGTAGGCTGACTAGTCGGACAGTGGAACTACGGAGGACGGCTAACAACACCAGTGACTTGGGATGGTGTATGTGAAATGTTGGTTCGTACTGGCAGAGGTCAGGGATTGATGCCAAACACGGACACTTATTCTGTTGCCATAATAACCACCAATTCCTTGTTGCCATAGTAACCTACAGTTGTATCACTATAGATTGTACCCGATATCAGTTATGATCGTATGACTGTGCCGATGTGAAGGTGTTGTGATAAAGTGTGCATCATAGTTTGAGTATATTGTGATGAGGAAGGCAAAGTTGGGGTTACTGCGTGTGAGTTACATGTGAGACACACGTGGTACTGCATATGTCAATGTTTTGTATAGAATGAATGTGTGTATGATAGCGTGTTTTTGTCGTGTATAGTTGGGTGTTTGGGTTAATAAATTTTTTGTAACCAAATATTTTTGTTCTGTTTGTGACAGTTACGGAGGTGCAATAATGCAGTTATGACATATTCTAAGGTACCGAGGGGCGGTGGAGTAGCGCAGTGGTTAAAGCGTTCGTTCGTCACGCTGAAGACCTGGGTTCGACTTCCCATATGGATACAATGTTTGAAGCCCATTTCTGGTGTCCCCCCGCCCTGATATTGCTGAAATATTGCTAAAATCGGCGTAAAACCAAACTCATTCACTCGCTCACTCTAAGGTACCGGGTAAAAGGACTGTATACACTAGAAACAGACTTTGACCAAACAAGCACAGTCATTTTCAAAAAAATGTTCCATGGCTAAAACAGTAGTCAAAACCACCTCCAGGATCCCAAACAACTTGCACAACATCGTATAACCATGTCTTGTTCGTTTCAGTTTTTTCCACTAAGGAAAAGGGTGTATACTTTCTTTTGGCTGTCAGTATTTAAATAAACGCCCCACCGAGATATCCAGTAACCTTGTGTAATTGAAACTGTGTAGTGGTCATAATCTCTGATTAATTGTGTGCAACAGTGATTTGTCTTGCTCAGAGCGGATTATTTGCAGGCTACTAGGAGACGGCTGAAATATTTCTGACTGTGAAAATGATCATAGAGCACACTTCAATTTTGACACTTTATTCAATACATTAGAAATATTTCGCTATGGATTCCAAAGCGATATTGAAAATAGTGCCTATGACTACGCTTATAAATACATGCTTGTATCAGATAAAACACTTACACCTAGTGTCGTCATTGGTTTCAGTGATCACTTCGTGTATTTTCTAGAGAACACCTGGTGTCATCATTGGTTTCAGTGGCCACTTCATGTATTCTCTCTAGAGAGCACCTGGTGTCATCACTGGTTTCATTGACCATGTATTCTCTAGAGAGTACCTGGTGTCAGCACCTGGAGTCATCACTAGTTTCAGTGGCCACTTCATGTATTCTCTAGAGAGCACCTGGTGTCATCATTGACCGCCTCCATGGTGTAGTGGTTAGAGCGTCCGCCCGGAGAGCGGAAGGTTGCGGGTTCGATCCCCGACCGCGTCATACCAAAAGACGTTACCATATGGTACTTGTTGGTCCCTGCCTGGCGTTGGGCATTAATGGGTACAACAAGGACTGGTCGGCTCTGAGTCAGTATACTGTCTCTGAGTGGGGTATTCATGCTTCACTGTGGCATGGTACCTCACTGGGCTGGCACAATAAAACCAGCTTAAGTCTGGGCTAGTACAAGCCGCCGCAGCCGCACATACACATACACACGCATGCACGTCGTCGTCACATCAGCGAAATATTCTCAAGCACGACATTAAACCCAATTTCACCTAATCTCATCTCACCTGGAGTCATCACTGGTTTCAGTGACCACTTCATATATTCTCTAGAGAACACCTGGTGTCATCACTGGTTTCAGTGGCCACTTCATGTATTCTCTAGAGAATACCTGTTGCCATCACTGGTTTCAATGGTCATTTCATGTATTCCCATAGAACACCTGGTGTCAGTACTGGTTTCAGTGGCCACTTCATGAATTCTCCAGTGAACACCTGGTGTCGTTGCTGATTTCACTTCTTCTACTACTTCTACTACTACTACTATTCCTCTTACTACTCCTACTACTCCTACTACTCCTAGTCCTACTCCTACTACTACTCCTACTACTACTACTACTCCTACTACTACTACTCCTACTTCTCCTACCAGTACTACTCCTACTACTCCTACTACTACTCCTACTCCTTACTACTACTACTACTCCTACTACTACTACTACTACCACTACTACTACTCCTACTACTACTACTACTGCTCCTACTACTACTACCCCTTCTTCACTACTACTCCTACTGCACTACCCTCCTGCTACTACTCTACTACCCTGCTGGCTGCTCCTACTACTCCTACTGGCTCCTACTACTCCTACTACCCCTCCTCAATACTGCTCCTACTACTACTACTACTACACCTACTACTACTCCTACTATTACTACTCCTACTACTCCTACTACTACTACTCCTACTACTACTCCTCCTACTACTACTACTTCTCCTACTACTCCTCCTACTACTACTGCTCCTACTACTACTACTACTACTACTCCTACTACTCCTCTTACCACCACCGACACTACTACCACTATTGCTGCTGCTAGAACTACTATCACTACTACTTCTGCTAGTGCTACTACTATCTTTACTACTACTACTGCTACTACTGTTGCTGCTGCCATTGCTACTGCTGCTCTAACTACTGCTACTAATATTGCTGCTGCTTGACCCACTTTAGCACAAGCGCTGTTCTTCACTACTACTTATCTCTACTACCACTTCTGCTTCTACTACTACTACTACATGCTCAGATCGGACACCCTTTAATTTAACCCCACTTTACCATCTTTACTCTCCTAATTAATTACTAATTACCATTAATTCCCACTTCCATCACTTCACTTCATCCACGATGCTGCTAATCATTGGATTGTCTGGTCCAGACTGGATTATTTACAGACACCACTTTACTATGCCATATAGCTGGAATATTGCTGAGTGCGGCGTAAAACTAAACTCACTCACTCCACTCCTGCTGCTACTGCTATAACTTACTATAACTGCTGCTACTAATATTGCTGCTGCTACTACAACTGCTATTGTTCCTACTACTGCAACTACTACTGCTGCTGCTACTACTGCTGTTATTACTTCTACTATACCTACTACTACTACAATTACTACTACAGCTACTGCTGACGCAATTTCAACTAAAAAACTACTACAATTGCTATATTTATCACTACCCGTGCTGATGCAACCATCCGATTCTATCCGCGACCTCCCGGTCAGACACTGCGTTGTTGAATTACAAAATAAGAACCCAAATATCAGCCCAATTTTGGTTTGTATTAATACAGACAACAGGGTATACCAGGCTGCATTAGTATTGAAGTTTTAGAATACCGTCAAACAATACCGCCCAATACAGCCCAATACAGCCCAAAACAATGCAAGGATCCAAACCATGGAATGCACCCCAAAACAATTCAAAGCGATCTGATATAACTACCCAAACACTAGAATGCAAACCAAAGAAATAGAAGCGTATCTGATAGGAATCTGATGCGATGACCTAAACAATGAAACAATATCAAACTTAATTCTAGACAACAGACAATAGAATCCCCCAAACAATAGAAGGCCCCCAAAGCAATTCAAGGCAATCGGATGTAATTGCCCAAACAATGAAAGGCGAGTCAAAATCAATACATGGTCACATGATGGAATCACTCAGACAACAGAAGGCAATTCAAGGCACAGATGATCCAAGGCAATCCAAGGCAAATCGATACGGTCACCTAAAGCAGTTAAGGTAATCTGATGCAATGACCCAATCAGTTGCAACCCAACGCACTTCATGACAAGCTGGTGAAAGTACTCCAACAATAATTGCCAACCCCTCTACAGTCATATGCAATAATCCATAGCCAATACAGGCAATCCGCTGCAGTTGCCCAGAACGGTTCAAGGTAATCTGACGCTAACAATCGAAGACAAAACAATTGCAATCCGATACAATGACCCAAAAACTCGAAAGTCACCAAAAGCAATTCAAGGGACAAGGACAAAAATGATCCAAAGTATTGGAGCCAATCCCAAAGCAATTCGAAGCAAAGAGATACAATGTTCTAAAGCAAATAGAAGCATTTCACTTAACACATTCCCAGCAATCTGTTGCCGTGACCTTGACAATGAAGTACAATCCCGTATCAATTAAAAATAAAACGACCCAAAGCAAGCCATTGCAGTCGTCCAAAGCAGTTCAAGGCAATCTAACGCCACGACCCAAACCACATAAAGAAATTCGAAAACAATCAAAGGCAACCCCAGATCACATATATGCACTGCCAATTCGGTCCTGTCACCCATAGGAGTCCAAGGCAATCTGATGAAATGAGAAATGTCCCAAACAAACTAAGGCAAACCCAAAGCAATTGAAGGCAATCAAGTTCAATGACATTCCAGATTTGGAAACATTCATGGAAAAGAGACTTAATCGTACATATTCGTAATCGTACACATAATGGTGTATATTTTATACATGTTCTTTTTACGGACACCGGGTCTTTGTTGGGTTTAATCATAATAAAACACCTTATTTGAACAGCAACAGATTGCAGTTCCTATTTTCACGTTTCTCCAGGAATTGGCATCAAGCTGAGTCTCGTGAGTGTTACATAGGGGTGTCGTCATTGTTGCCACCGTTTTCTGTCAGAGCCTCTCCTTCGTTCTTCTGACGAACCACATCGACGTTCTTCAGGGTAACATTTTCTTCTTTCTTCGCTGTGCAACTGAAACAATATAAGGTCCTCCGTATCATGTCGTGTTGTTTTCAGTGCTCCCACAGACCGACGTTGGATAGTAAATATCCCGTGTCTGTCTGTGTCTAGCTATCGCTCTATTTACAGCAGAACTGAAATATAATATAGATGAATTCCAAACGGTACACAATTTAAACTGTGACCAGAAGAATTATTAGTTTTGATCCAAAGTACAGGTATTCAGGGTAGCCTGATGGTAATAGCGTTCATTCGTGACGCAGAAGAGCCGCGTCCGATTCCAGGTACAATGTGTGAAGCCCCAACCTGGTGTCCCGCGCTGTGATATTGCTGGGATATTGCGAAAAGCGGCGTTAAACCATACTCACTCACTCGCTCACTCACTCACATGATAATATTCGGTACATTGTTCACGCTGTAGTATCACTGGAGAAATAACTAAACGAAAACAAGTTGCAAGTTTTTATTCACTACTCTCCTAGTAACGTCACGGAGGCTAAAAATTGAGAACACGAGTCAAATATTTAAACAGTCTGGATTTAGATACATAGACGAAAAGAACCAACGAATAACGTCTCCCTTTGCAGTGCCACGTGGACAAATATCTAAACAGACTGTTTTTATGATGACTTTTTCAAACGTCGTCAGTTTGCGGAATCAGTACCGTTGCACTCACCGTTTGATGACGACAGCCGCGACGACACAGACCACAATGACACAGACAGCCACTGCGACGATCAGGTAAACGGCTACAACAATACCAGGATGTAATGAATACAAGGGGATAATAATGGGAAGTGTATCAGATCAATCAATCTATCTATTTATCTGTCTATCTATCATCCATGCGTCCATTAAATCTATCTATCTATCCATCCATTATTCTATCTATCTATCTCTATATCTATCATCATCCATCCATCCATTAATCTATCTATCTATCTATCCATCCATTAATCTATTTATCTATCTGAGGTTTGTTTTACGCCGCACTATCACGGCGGGGGAACAGCAGATACGGGCTTTACACAATACCCATGTGGGGAATCGAACCTGGTCTTCGGCGCGACGAGCGAACGCTTTAACAACTAGGCTACCCCACCGCCCCACTGCTTGCAACAAGAAGCGTTTGTTGCAGTACAGTGAATTACAAGGGCAATGTTGCAAGATTTATAGCCAACTGGAACATTGATGCTATGAGGAGGTAGGAAATGTATTACATATCTCGGAAGGATGAGTGGAAAAGATATGGATTTCTTTTTTTCAGTATCCTTTCATCAAACCTGTAGTTGAGAGTCCTTTAGATCTAGGATCAGAGCGACTTGTTGTGTTTGTCGTCGCCGTTGTCTCTGACATCCCTGGAGCTGTTGACGACATAGGTGCTACCACAGAAGGAAAACAAACGATATAAGAAAGTATACTCGATTAATCAGTATATATGTAAACAGTTATGGTATGAGAGGAAGATTTTCCAGTTGATTGTGATAGCTAAATAAGCCTTACTTACACACTGAAGTTTCTTTTCTTTGACACGGGACATAGATGGGCCAGGTACGTGTGTCTGTATTAACAGAAGTATAAACATGAACACGACTTTAAACATAAACGTGACAATATATATGAACATGAACCATGATCCAAATGTTATGACAGTTGTAAAAAGGTTCCATTTTTCTAGTTTGCTTTCTTCGCAACGTCTGTAATCCCTTCTACAGCTATTGTTTATTTTAACAATGTCTATACTGCAAATAATCGAGTCTTGGCGAGACAATCGAGTGACTAACAACATGAGCATCGATCTACGCAGTTGGGATACGATGACATGTGGTCAACCAAGTCATAGTTTGCAAGCATAGGTTACTGAGGTCCAATTCTAGCCCGGATCTTCACGAGTCTAAAATGATCACATAAAACACGATGACACTTAAAGGAACACAGCTACAACGGAGAGGAACCACTTAGAGCCGAAGAGGTGGTAATCTGCATTACGTTCACACATGACTTGATGAATTGTAATATGATGTTAGTTATAAAAATGATAAATTACAAAAAATTACGAACCATTCTTCAACAGTTCTTCTTCCATTGCTGCAAAAGAGAATGGATATGACAAGGAATTCATAGTCGTTAATTTGCTTCAGATGATTTACACAGTATTGTTGTGGTTTATCCAGAAGTTCACACCATCTTTTCATTCCATATAACTCTATGCCATGAAGTGGAACAAAATAACTCACTGGCTTTACGTATGCAAAGATAATAGTGTTGTTCGCCGCAGCTCGCCGCGGTGAATGTCCCGTTCTTTAGAATTTTACACTCCTCTGGATAACCTGAAAAAGTATGACATACAACTGTGAAACAACGAGTGACATACATGTATATCGCATCCTCAGTACACAAACATGGATACATGTCAATGATGTAAAAAAGCGGGTTTCTGTCGAAAAATAGCTAACGTACATACTGTCATCTGTAAAGAGGCATGTATGTAAGCTGTGTACACTAAACACAGACAGCGTGTCAGTGATTTACATATCATTAATAAACCCATGCAAGAGGATATATGTAATATGATGGAAAAAAGGCTTTATATAATCGAACTGTAAATAACTGAAATGAGAATTTTACCACTAATCCATATCGATCCATGCTTTGCTTCGGCTTCTATTGCAAAACGACTGGCCAGTTTTAAGTCATTTATGATTAAAATGTGCATTCCTTGTTCGATGCACGTGTTTGTGGCCTTGGAGTTATTTTCAGGCTTGCAAGACGACTGGACAGCTATATGTGCTGCAAAAAGAGCGAGGAAACAAAATATTTGAAGTGTTTCATAACGTTTACATTTTACACAATCACTGGTCAACGAGCTACGAGGATCTGAGAATCGTGTTCCCCGAGCAAACCTTAGACCGTTTGACAGAATGATTCAGGAAGGATGGGGCAGGACAATTCACGGAGGGATAGATATTTTGGGAAATGTTGTTCCATCTGTTATCCATTGTAATTCTTAGAAAGAAAATGAAGGTAACGTTTAACACATTAGTAAATGTATTTTGTTCAGATGACGTAATCTGATCATTCCGTGACAATGAGAGTGAACGTCTGAGTGAGTGAGTGGTGCTTTACGCCACTTTTAGCAATGATTTTCTGAATTCTTTCTTCTTGTTCCCTAATGAAAAATATACCGGTAGGCTGAATGGATTTGAACTTAAACTTACTGTAAATATTTGAAGCTTGTAAGTGTGATTGGTGCGTGAATGTGTTGTCGTGTCTGGTGTTGTTGTTTTGTGCTTTTTTAGAAAAATCCTAATTTTCCTGTGATCAGTTAATCTTCTTGCAAAGGACCTTAGAGTTTCCTGATTCTACGGACGTTTCTGTATCAGGGGAAGCAGGAAATACAAATTATCAATTATAAAAAAAAATTCCATCAATATCATGGCGGGAGATACCAGAAACGGGCTTCACATATTGTTCCCATGTGGGGAATCGAACCCGGGCTTTCGAGCCTTCGAGCGAACGCTTTAAACCACTGTGCTACCCCACCGCCCCTATGACCTCAGGTACGGTACAAGAGACGGCATTCATGCTTTCAACAGTTAATCGATGCTGGTTATATCCTTTAAATGAATAAACAACATCAAGAAAGAGCCACGTGTGAAACTGTCGAATTATTAAACTCTATTATTCTACATTCCACGCTCGATCGAGAGTAGTCACTAACAGTAAAATGCTACGAACACTAGTATATCATTTCTGAAGGAGACACCCATTACAACATTCAGTGAACGTACTCAAGCGTATTTGTTAAGAATTCTCTAGGACAGTTCCGCCTGAGGATTATTAAATATAGGACGGTGGGTCTTGTCATGATTTGTCTAACTTTACTTCGTTCCCCATTATCACAGATGGTCCTATAATCGGATCTGCAGATACTGCAGTAGCTTTTCGAAGTTTGTACCGTTATGGAGCGGATCCGGGATTTTGAAGGGGTGGGAGTGGGGTTGGGGCGTGGGTGGCTGGGTATGCACATACGTCATGAAGTCCAAAGTTTAGGGGAACATGCTCCTCAGGGGAATCATTTTCGACGAAGAAGGGGGGTCGGCAGGCAGGGGGTCCCGTTATTCAAAGCTCTGTTATTAATTATGTGGTGGACAGGAAGGTTTTGACACCGTGGTTGTGAATAAGCAGCAAAACAGGTAAAGCGATACATGTATTGGAACTGAGTATGATCTTCACTGCTAATAACTTCCAAAGGGACAAAGTAGGTCCATGGTTGAAATTGTGTTATTTATACATAATACTCTTTTAAAGTATGGTCTCTCAGAGTTCCCAGTAGGGTACACGATACAGTACGTCGAAACTGAGTTTGTTCAGTACACAGCTCCATACTCCTGACCAAATAATATAATATATTACATAATATTTATGTAAATGCAATCATTTCGATAAATGTCATCCACCCGCAAATTACTCGTAAAATCGCAGTTCTCTATGACACTACCCTGTTCGACCCTTCACTGCCTAAGTTTTAAAATAGTTTTATAAAGGAATATTTGCGTGATAACGATTTGAAGCACTGTACGGAAACTGATACCTAGTTATGAAGTTATGAAGACAGCGCGCTCTGACCTACTTGCACCTATGACGTCACAATAGACATGACACTACAGCAAACTGTGTGTGATGTCATGTTGATCTTATTGGCTTCAAGACTCAAATTTCAATATGAGTAAGTTTTAAACCATGTTATGTGTTGGTAACAGCAAGTCAAAATATTGATTACATAACAGTCTCGTTTCCTGCTGACTGGGTTCCGTCCTATTGTGCAACTTAGTACAATAGCCAGTCCAATATTTTGAGACCAACTCTTTCAACTGGATATTTTAATATAAATCAGTATTACCTGTTACATCTAATCACTTGTAAATTGCAACACTACGCTCCTTCTACCCCTTGCAAACACGTAGCTTGCTCTGTCGTACAGCGTGCCCTGACAAACGGAAATCTGGAAATCGTGGAAATCTCAAAATGAGGCTAGGCCGCAAGACTGACTGAGTTTGGTTTTACGCCGCTTTAAGCAATATTCCAGCAACATCACGGCGAGGGACACCAGAAATGGGCATCACACATTGTACCCATGTGACGAGCCAATGCCTTAACCACTAGGCTACCCCACTCGGCCGCAAGAAATGTTTTGCGGTCTTTTACGGCCTTGATATTATATCAATCACATTGTATTTACAAAAATCCACTTAATAAGCGTATAAAACACATAGTAGATGTAACCAGTGAGGCAGATGAATTGGGAATCATTTTACGACCTCATCAGACAGGGACAGTCTGTGACGTCTTAGTTGACGTCATGCTGGCTAAGCCTCGCCATATAATATAGAAATATGATTTCTTTAAGGTTTCACATTCAAATTCATTTGTAAATACCATTTTCTTGCGAAACAAGGAATTTGAATTTGGTGTTGATTGTAGTGTCTCTTTTCACTTTTCACTTTCACATGAGAAAATGACCGCCTCCGTGGTTTAGTGGTTAGAGCGTCCGCCCCCGAGAGCGGAAGGTCGGGGCTTTGATCCCCGACCTTGTCATACCAAAAGACGTTAAAATATGGTACTTGTTGGTCCCTGTCTGGCGCTCGGCATTAATGGGTACAACAAGAACTGGTCGGCTCGGAGTCAGTATAAAGTGTCTGAGTGGGGGTATTCATGCTTCACTGCGACATGGTATCTCAGTGGGCTAGTACAAGCAGCCGCACATACACATACACACGCATGCACGTCGTCATATGAGCGAAATATTCTCAAGCACGACGTTAAACCCAATTCCACCACCACCACATGAGAACATTCGGATCAGCTGAAAAGTGGGTCATTGTCTGAATTGGTTCATGACCCTCATGTTTCGGTTTGTAATTAAAATCATTTTACCCCGGAAGAAAGGATATGCATGATGTGTAAGTTAAAGATGAAATGAGATAAGTTTCATTTCCTTCTCATCTGTCCCCACCGTAAACATATGATGGAGTATGCCTTCATAACTACGTTTTAGCAATTCCGTGGCGAATAATTTGTTTAATAATTTTAAACATTTTAAAACTCGATTTAACTATAATATGTCCACCATACAATGTAAACCACATCAAAATAAAAAGAAATACATAAATTGTATGTCAATAAATAAATACCAAAATATAAATGATCGTGGTCACAAAAAAGCCCACAGTACGAACCCTGCAGTATTATAGATTATGTTTATGAATTACTATCAGACAGTGATATGTCAATGTATACCATTAAAAAAATGTAGGGGATATTCCATTTTGCGAACATACCACTCGCCTGCCAGTGCATATGAGAAAAAGTAATATATACTACCCGTCACATGTTAAGACTCACTTAAAGCACTTACTATATGTTATGCATATATATATGGTTACTTCGAAGAGAAATTTCTCCACTAACTTGGGGGAACCAACTGCAAACCTTATGCAGATAAATTGCATGAGGATCATGCATCAAATTGCTGAAAAGCATGTGCAAATATCGTGCATGTGAACAGCTGCGTTTTTGTGTAAAGTTTTGTTAAGAATTCGCCAATTTTCACCGAGATTCATCATTTATTGAACCTATGACACTAACTTTATCAACGTTACGATTTTGTTGTACAATACATCAGTTCATGTGTAAACAGTACCTTTAAACAGTATGGAATATTTTGCAAAATCTAGGTCAGAACAGTTGACTGAAGTAAGTGGCTACATTTACACTAGTGAGTCTAAACTTTTGATGGGTAGTATATATCCACACGGATGAAAACTTTCCAAAGGAATGGAATAAAATGTCACATTTCCCTTACTTTCTCTTCATCATTTGTTTCCTTTATTGCTTCATCATTTGCATTTTATCATCTTGCAAATCCAATATACCCAAGTGTTTTTGAATGGTATATATCAACCAGTGTATATAGGACCAGTGTTCGATCTCGACTGAATCATAGACAAATGTTTTCAAATCACTATCAGATATCAGTGTATGTAAAGCACCACCAATATAATATACTCTCCCAAAAAAGAAACGCATATATGAATTTCAACTGTATTTTTATGTTTATTTTGAAACATCTTGTATGCGTTATGAGTGAATGAAATATAGCGAAATTGCACACTGAGAATGCAGACATCCGTCATTGGCACCAACTCGAGGAAAGTCAGTTTGAGTGTCACATGAAGACGTGTGGTGGCGCTGAAGTCCAATACCTCGTGTGACTACCGTGGGCATCCAGAACTGCACGGCATCGCCTCGGCATCGAACGAATAAGTCTCAGAATCTCGTGTTGCCCAATCGCAGCCCACTCTGCCTGTAGTGCCTGTGCGAGTTGCTGAAGTGTCTGGGACTGAGGGTTACGGCGTGGCACCCGTCTGTCCATGGCATCCCACAGATGTTCGATCGGGTTTAAGTCCGGTGATCTTGAGGGCCAGGGGAGCACATTGATGTTGTGGTTCTGGAAGAAGTCTTTAGTTTGACGTGCTGTGTGGGGCCTGGCATTCTCCTGTTGAAACAACTCCCTCTGGCGATCAATGATTGGAAGGAGGTGTGGGCGTAGGATTTCGTCACAGTACCGTTGAGCTGTCAGGTTGCCCTGGATCATCACCAAATCACTTCTCCTACGGCAGGTGATCGCTCCCAACATCATAACAATGCCCCAGCCGAATCTGTCCACCTGGGGAACACAAGCGTCGGTGAAACGTTCACACCGACGTCTGTACACCCGCTTTCTTCCATTGCGTTATTCCAATAGAAATCGTGATTCATCACTGAACCAGATTCTACGCCAATTCGGTAGGTTCCAGGCCTGAACGTTGGTGCACCATTGAACTCGATGTCGACGATGTTGTTGTCGAAGCACAGGGCCAAAATAAGGTCTTCTGGCACGTAAACCAGCCTCTCTCAACCTGTTCTTGACGGTCTGTGCAGAAAGCCTCCTCAATCCGGGTATTTGTCGAGCGGTACTGGTCGCCGTAGCTGTTCGATGACGCAGGTGATGTACCTGGATGTAGCGATCCTGCGCCGTAGTGGTCGCTCGAGGTCGCCCACTACGATGGGCATCTGCTACCGAATTCTGCCGGCGATATCTCTACCAGAGCCTTGAAATAGTGCTTTGGTGAACATTAATACGTCGTGCAACAGCACGTTGAGACTCGCCAGCTTCAAGCAAACCAATGGCGGTATGACGGTTGGCTTCACTTAGACGTGGCATTTTGCGTTCGTCAACAATATTCTAAATACAGTGAATTATCGACAGACAGCGATCAACCTTTTATACACATCATTGAGACTACCTGATCCCAAACTCTCACGTGCATTGCATGTGAATTGTGTATTCTGTGACACTACACGCCGAAATTGAAAATCATGTGTTGTACACAACCTGTGTACAACAATCATGCTATTAAATACGGGTATTTTACGAATGATGCGTTTTCTTGTGATGTTTCAAAACATCAACACCATAGGACTCATAAACAGAGCAAAACCTTTTGTAAAATGAATCACGTTTTAATTCATTGCTGCATGAAATTGCTATTTTCATGATGCGTTTCTTTCTTGGGAGAGTATATACTTACAGTACGGACTTCTCACCTTCCAGTAAAGGAACAGTGTGAGTGAGTATGTTTGGTTTTACGTCGCTTTTAGCAACATTTCAGCAATATCACGACGGGGAACACCAGAAATTGGATTCATTGTCCCCGTGTGTTGAATCGAACCCGAGTCTTCGGTGTGAAGAGCGAACGCTTTAACCATAAGGCTACCCCATCGCCCCTAAGTGAAAAGAAGTTACATGATTAAGGGAATCACGTTTGTATGTGCGCTCGTCTGATGTTACCAGCTGTCAGAAACCAAGTTCTTCCTGTTGAAACTTTAGGGAATAGAAAACGTTTCACACTCGTGTTGAGAAATACGTTATTTTTTTAATTATGCCCAATTTATGTTGGATGCAAGCGGAGACAGGTCGTTAACATTGACCACGAACCTCACGAGTACCTGCTAAGAAAAGTAGGTTCGAACCCACGTTCAAATGTAAAACGCCATGCATAACGGGCGCATGTCTGCAAAAATAAATACGGCTCTTTAGACGACTTCATTGTATAACCCGTTTACCTCATGTACACAATGGTCTAATCATTCACCAATAGCTTCACAGAACACAAACGAAATCCACAACCATGAGAAATCTCTGCTTAAATCAGAAACCATTTTACTGTTTCTACTTTGTCATAAGCGCGTGATAATGAATCCTTGCCAGGTGGTGATGACACCTGGTGTTTTGGACACCAGGATAGCCCAGTGGTTAACGTTTTCCTCGTCAAGTGTGATGACACCTGGTGTTTGACACAGAGAAGCCCAGTGGTTAACGCGTTCCTCGTCAAGTGTGATGACACCTGGTGTTTGGCACAGAGAAGCCCAGTGGTTAACGCGTTCCTCGCCAAGTGTGATGACATCTGGTGTTTTCGACACAGAGAAGCCCAGTGGTTACTGCGTTCCTCGTCAAGTGGTGATGACACCTGGTGTTTGACATAGAGAAGCCCAGTGGTTAATGCGTTCCTCGTCAAGTGTGATGACACCTGGTGTTTGACATAGAGAAGCCCAGTGGATAACGCGTTCCTCGTCAAGTGGTGATGACACCTGGTGTTTGACACAGAGAAGTCCAGTGGTTAACGCGTTCCTCGTCAAGTGGTGATGACACCTGGCGTTTGACACAGAGAAGCCCAGTGGTTAACACGTTCCTCGTCAAGTGGTGATGACACCTGGCGTTTGACACAGAGAAGCCCAGTGGTTAATGCGTTCCTCGTCAAGTGGTGATGACACCTGGTGTGTGACATAGAGAAGCCCAGTGGTTAACGCGTTCCTCGTCAAGTGGTGATGACACCTGGTGTTTGACATAGAGAAGCCCAGTGGTTAACGCGTTCCTTGTCAAGTGTGATGACACCTGGTGTTTGACACAGAGAAGTCCAGTGGTTAACGCGTTCCTCGTCAAGTGGTGATGACACCTGGTGTTTGACACAGAGAAGCCCAGTGGTTAGCGCGTTCCTCGTCAAGTGGTGATGACACCTGGTGTTTGACACAGAGAAGCCCAGTGGTTAATGCGTTCCTCGTCAAGTGGTGATGACACCTGGTGTTTGACACAGAGAAGCCCTGTGGTTAACGCGTTCCTCGTCAAGTGGTGATGACAACTGGTGTTTGACACAGAGAAGTCCAGTGGTTAATGCGTTCCTCGTCAAGTGGTGATGACACCTGGTGTTTGACATAGAGAAGCCCAGTGGTTAACGCGTTCCTCGTCAAGTGGTGATGACACCTGGTGTTTGACACAGAGAAGTCCAGTGGTTAACGCGTTCCTCGTCAAGTGGTGATGACACCTGGTGTTTGACACAGAGAAGCCCAGTGGTTAATGCATTCCTCGTCAAGTGGTGATGACACCTGGTGTTTGACACAGAGAAGCCCAGTGGTTAACGCGTTCCTCGTCAAGTGGTGATGACACCTGGTGTTTGACACAGAGAAGTCCAGTGGTTAACGCGTTCCTCGTCAAGTGGTGATGACACCTGGTGTTTGACATAGAGAAGCCCAGTGGTTAACGCGTTCCTCGTCAAGTGGTGATGACACCTGGTGTTTGACACAGAGAAGTCCAGTGGTTAACGCGTTCCTCGTCAAGTGGTGATGACACCTGGTGTTTGACACAGAGAAGCCCAGTGGTTAACGTGTTCCTCGTCAAGTGGTGATGACACCTGACGTTTGACACAGAGAAGCCCAGTGGTTAATGCGTTCTTCGTCAAGTGGTGATGACACCTGGTGTTTGACACAGAGAAGCCCAGTGGTTAACGCGTTCCTCGTCAAGTGGTGATGACAACTGGTGTTTGACACAGAGAAGCCCAGTGGTTAATGCGTTCCTCGTCAAGTTGTGATGACACCTGGTGTTTGACACAGAGAAGCCCAGTGGTTAATGCGTTCCTTGTCAAGTGGTGATGACACCTGGTGTTTGACACAGAGAAGCCCAGTGGTTAATGCGTTCCTCGTCAAGTGTGATGACACCTGGTGTTTGACACAGAGAAGCCCAGTGGTTAACGCGTTCCTCATCAAGTGGTGATGACACCTGGTGTTTGACACAGAGAAGCCCTGTGGTTAACGCGGTCCTCGTCAAGTGGTGATGATACCTGGTGTTTGACACAGAGAAGCCCAGTGGTTAACGCGTTCCTCGTCAAGTGTGATGACCCCTGACGTTTTGACGGTAGGGTAGCCCAGTGGTTAACGCGTTCCTCGTCAAGTGTGATGACACCTGGTGTTTTGGACACCATGGAAGCCCAGTGGTTAACGCGTTCTTCGTCAAGTGTGGTGACATCTGAAGTTTTGACGGTAGGGTAGCCAGTGGTTAGCACGTTCCTCGTCAAGTGTGATGACGCCTGAAGTTTTGACGGTAGGGTAGCCAGTGGTTAACGCGTTCTTCGTCAAGTGTGGTGACATCTGAAGTTTTGACGGTAGGGTAGCCAGTGGTTAACACGTTCCTCGTCAAGTGTGATGACGCCTGAAGTTTTGACGGTAGGGTAGCCAGTGGTTAACGCGTTCCTCGTCAAGTGGTGATGACACCTGACGTTTTGACGGTAGGGTAGCCCAGTGGTTAACGCGTTCCTCGTCAAGTGTGATGACACCTGGTGTTTTAGACACCAGGGTACCCCAGTGGTTAACGCGTTCTTTCGTCACGCCGGGTTGTATTTCCCACATGGGCACAAGATCATACTTTTAGGGATCATGTCTATAGTATGCGTCACTATGATTTCTGGTAAAACTGACACTCTATCAAAACACGAGGACGATATGAAAGTTATATGAGGACGATATAATATCGTCCTGAGGCGCTTTTCTGGTCTATCGTTATTATTAAATTATTATTAATATTACTAATATTAGTTTAATACTGCCAAAAACTGAGTCAAACCTTGCTTCCCCAACTAGGTTTGCAAAGAGGTGGATGTGATTAATCGAGCAAAACCGAGTCGTGACACCTCAGTAACCAACACCCCCACGAAGGACAATCATAATTAATCCAGTTCTCATATATATGTTTCCTACCGTGTTGTGTGACACACTCCTGCCAACAGAGAACCAGCACCACCACCATCCCAGACACAACGTGAGATGCCCGTTGTGTTGTCCGAGCTGATGCCATGGTCTACGTCTCGCTACAGCTACGTCTACTCGACTGTCCCAACTGAGATATATGTCCAGGTACTCCAGCTTCCTGCTACGCTCAATAACATTACCAGGACACGCCAGTGTGAATGTGAATCAGATCTGAAATGATCTTTGAAAGAACACTGGCGGTGCGAAACTGGCTTGATGATTAGGACTGAGGTCACTCGGGTTGTAATGACACATACCCGGTAGAATGAGAGCGGAAGGAAACATTTTGGCTAAATATGAGGGGTGTACAACTTGTACATTCAAAGGCAAAACTACTTGTAATAAGTGATAAATATTATTAATAACACTTTGTAACAACAATAGATACACAATAGCTATAAAATGTCAAGAGAACAATGTCTTGATTAACTGTCAAAACAGTTTTCAGCGTAACTTCAAAAGCATGAACAGGTCCTTATCATAATATGATGTAATTTATGTGCTTGCTTTGAATGGATTTACCTTCTAAGTTTAAGTAAATTACCTTAGATCAAAGCCTTGTTCTTGTAAGATTACAAAATCTCTTAAACCATCGCTCTTGACATATTTCCAGTTTAAATTCCCAAACTGTTACAACTGTTGAACAAAGTCTTATTCTTAAAACACACCTGATAACAGTCATTATGATTTGTAAAAGTCCCCGTTTCATATATGCAGACGTCTCCCGTCTCAGTATTGCTGGAATATAGCTTAAGGTGACGTAAAACATACTCACTCACTCCGCTATGCATAATCTATGGAAAATAGATGGCCCCGTTAGACTAATGGTAAAATATTAGGTTAGAATCGGGATTCGAACCCACAATCAGAGATATCCAGGGTGCCCAAGGGATGCAACTCGGTCCCGTTGTCATTTTGTTAGCAAAAGTGTATATTACCCTGTTACACTCTCTCTGACCAAATAATGTTACAATGTTGATACTGTGCAAACCTTTTGGAGCTTTATGCATGTACATGTACATTGTATATATTGTATATATGTGGAGCACGGTGGTGTAGTGGTTAGCATGCTGGCCTCTAACGCCAAAGGCCCAGGTTCGAATCCAGGTGGAGACACCAAAATTTGTTACCAGGGTCTCATATTGTGTTGTGTCCATGGGCAAGGCACTTCGTCCACATTGCACGTCCACTCAGCTGTTCAAAATCGGTACCTTGGAAGTGGATGTACGGACCTATAAGGTCGTGCGAAGCGCTTAGTAGGGTAAGAATGTAACACGTTGTGTTGGATTCTAGGCGCAAAAATTAGCATTATTATTATTAAGTTTCTTTTTCAACGATAGCTATTTGCTATAATAAAAGACATAATTGTGTGAGGTCATGTGAAATTGGGTTTAACATAGTACTTGAGAATATTTCGCTCATATGACGACGTGCATGCGTGTGTATGTGTATGTGCGGCTGCTTGTACTAGCCCACACTGAAGCTAGTTTTATAGTGCCGCAGTGAAGCATGAATACCCCACTCTGACACATTATACTGACTCCGAGCCGACCAGTCCTCGTTGTACCCATTAATGTAGAGCGCCAGTCAGGGACCAACAAGTACCATATTTTAACGTCTTTTGGTATGACGCGGTCTGGGGTCGAGCCCGTAACCACTACACTACGGAGGCGGTCATATAGCTGTTTGCGATGTGGTGAATCATCTGTCATGTAACATGTTGTTGTTTCTCTTTCCGCAGTTTAACAATGCTTCTTCACCTGAACTGTTTTTGAATGTGTTTTCATTTCCGTGATCTTATAAAACGACACGAATGCATTTTGTAGTCACTTATGTTGTTAGTCAGAAAAGGGCCGGTGCGAAACTCTTTGTTCAAAGTTTATATTTAGAAAAGGATCGTGAATTGCAGAAATTTCAGCGCTCCACTGCACACAGGCGTTATGGCAATGCTACATCATGTACACACAATTTGACAATGACACATTACCGACACACGATATGACCATGGTACACTACATGATAGGACAATGGTACAATATGCTCACAAGCTATCATATATGACAATGAAGTATCTCTCTCACACACACGCAATGAGACCGCCTCAGTGGTGTAGTGGTTAGAGCGTCCGCCCGGAGAGCGGAAGGTCACGGGTTCGTTCCCAGACCGCGTCATACCAAAACCAAAAGACGTTAAACCATGGTACTTGTTGGTCCTGCCTGTCGCTCGGCATTTATGGGTACAACGAGGACTGGTCGGCTCCGAGTCAGTATAATGTGTCTGAGTGGGGTATTCATGCTTCACTGCGGCACTATAAAACCAGCTTCAGTGTGGGCTAGTACAAGCAGCCGCACATACACATACACACGCATGCACGTCGTCATATGAACGGAATATTCTCAAGCACGACGTTAAACCCAATTTCAACTCAACTCACGCACAATGATCATCAAGCATTACACACACACACACGCTATGACCATCAAACGTTACACACACACACACACACGATATTGCCACCAAGCATTACACACACACGCTATGACCATCAATTATTACACACACACGATATTGCCATCAAACATTACACACACACACACGCTATGACCATCAAACATTACACACACACGATATTGCCATCAAGCATAACACACACGCGCGCTATGACCATCAAACATTACACACACACACGATATTGCTATCAAGCATTAAACACACACACGATATTGCCATCAAACATTACACACACACACGCTATGACCATCAAGCATTACACACACACACGCTATGACCATCAAACATTACACACACACACACGATATTGCCATCAAACATCACACACACACACACACACACGCTATGACCATCAAGCATTACTCACACACACACACACACACACACACACACACACACGCTATGACCATCAAACATTACACATACACACGATATTTCCATCAAACATTACACCCCTTCGCATTGAAACTAAAATTATGGTAGTTCAATCCAATACTGAAACATCACAGTCTTCCGCAACACGGAAACAGTACACAGTCCTGCATAATAGAAAACCATTAGAGACATTCCACCGAACATTATAACGTTAGGGGAAGGTGCGGTGGGGGTAGCCAAGTGGTTAAAGTGTTCGCTCGTCAAGCCAGATACCCGGGTTTGATTCTCCACATGGGTACAATATGTGAAGCCCATTTCTGGTGCCCCCCCGCCGTGATATTGCTGGAATATTGCTAAAAGCGGCGTAAAACTAAACTCACTCACTCCAACCATTGAAAACACTAAGCTAACATGCTGTACTCAGGCGATCATGACACACTACATAAGATGAGGATGCTGACCTACCTGAAAGTGATCTATGCCGGTTTCCTTCAAACGCAGGGTTCAAAATTTTATTTAAATATATCCAGTGGGCCAGTGTCATTAGACAAGCAGACTCGCTTTTTCTGAGAAAAGCACAGTAATTTCATAAACAATGGAGGCGTTCGTTTGTCACGCCGAAGACCCGGGTTCGATTCCCCACATGGGTACAATGTGTGAAGCCTATATCTGGTGTCCCCCCAGCGTGATATCGCCGGAATATTGCTAAAAGCGGCGTAAATCTGAACACCCTCACTCACTGATTACCAATGTGTTAAGTTAGTTAAGGTCCCTTCTTCTGATTTCAAAACGACAATGCCAAGAAGATCTGAATGATGATTTCGAAAACTGTAAACTTACAATATTCCATGCACCTAATTTCCAGAAGTCTGTTAGCTTTAAGTTCCCTTTGCCTAATATGGCAAGAATAGTATCGAATATATGCGACCTCAAATTTAGTTTAAATAGCAAGGTCACTCAGATGTATATGCCCCCAGAGTAACTTAGGGCTCGATGATGAAGAGCAACAAGTTATATGTCCCCAGAGTAACTTAGGGCTCGATGATGAAGAGGAACAAGTTATATGTCCCCAGAGTAACTTAGGGCTCGATGATGAAGAGGAAAAAGTTATATGTCCCCAGAGTAACTTAGGGCTCGATGATGAAGAGGAACAAGTTATATGTCCCCAGAGTAACTTAGGGTTCGATGATGAAGAGGAACAAGTTATATGTCCCCAGAGTAACTTAGGGCTCGATGATGAAGATGAACAAGTTATATGTCCCCAGAGTAACTTAGGGCTCGATGATGAAGAGGAACAAGTTATATGTCCCCAGAGTAACTTAGGGCTCGATGATGAAGAGGAACAAGTTATATGTCCCCAGAGTAACTTAGGGCTCGATGATGAAGAGGAACAAGTTATATGTCCCCAGAGTAACTTAGGGCTCGATGATGAAGAGGAACAAGTTATATGTCCCCAGAGTAACTTAGGGCTCGATGATGAAGAGGAACAAGTTATATGTCCCCAGAGTAACTTAGGGCTCTATGATGAAGAGGAACAAATTATATGTCCCCAGAGTAACTTAGGGCTCGATGATGAAGAGGAACAAGTTATATGTCCCCAGAGTAACTTAGGGCTCGATGATGAAGAGGAACAAGTTATATGTCCCCAGAGTAACTTAGGGCTCGATGATGAAGAGGAACAAGTTATATGTCCCCAGAGTAACTTAGGGCTCGATGATGAAGAGGAACAAGTTATATGTCCCCAGAGTAACTTAGGGCTCGATGATGAAGAGGAACAAGTTATATGTCCCCAGAGTAACTTAGGGCTCGATGATGAAGAGGAACAAGTTATATGTCCCCATGGTAACTTAGGGCTCGATGATGAAGAGGAACAAGTTTTATGTCCCCAGAGTAACTTAGGGCTCGATGATGAAGAGGAACAAGTTATATGTCCCCAGAGTAACTTAGGGCTCGATGATGCAAGAGGAACAAGTTATATGTCCCCAGAGTAACTTAGGGCTCGATGATGAAGAGGAACAAGTTATATGTCCCCAGAGTAACTTAGGGCTCGATGATGAAGAGGAACAAGTTATATGTCCCCATGGTAACTTAGGGCTCGATGATGAAGAGGAACAAGTTATATGTCCCCAGAGTAACTTAGGGCTCGATGATGAAGAGGAACAAGTTATATGTCCCCAGAGTAACTTAGGGCTCGATGATGCAAGAGGAACAAGTTATATGTCCCCAGAGTAACTTAGGGCTCGATGATGAAGATGAACAAGTTATATGTCCCCAGAGTAACTTAGGGTTCGATGATGAAGAGGAACAAGTTATATGTCCCCAGAGTAACTTAGGGCTCGATGATGAAGAGGAACAAGTTATATGTCCCCAGAGTAACTTAGGGCTCGATGATGAAGATGAACAAGTTATATGTCCCCAGAGTAACTTAGGGTTCGATGATGAAGATGAACAAGTTATATGTCCCCAGAGTAACTTAGGGTTCGATGATGAAGAGGAACAAGTTATATGTCCCCAGAGTAACTTAGGGCTCGATGATGAAGAGGAACAAGTTATATGTCCCCATGGTAACTGAGGGCTCGATGATGAAGAGGAACAAGTTATATGTCCCCATGGTAACTTAGGGATCATCATATCAACTTCTAAAATTCTTCTTGAAGAAGTTAAAAGGCCAATATGTTCAAGCATCAGACACAAAAACTCAACTCAGTAAGAAAGCAGCAGATTCCAGTATACGTCCCCATCAGCAAGATGCAGGAAATAGATATGATCATAACTGGAAGAAAGGCAGGGAGGTTACTAAGGACGAACCTACTTACTTCCGCTTAAAAAAGGAAGCGCTCTATTGCTCCTGAATGCCATTTTATATGTCACGTTAACGTTCGGTGTGAGTGTTCGCTATCTTTTGACTGGTTTGTAAAAATATCTGTTTGCTTTTTTTTGTTTTCAGGGGGTGCTGGGGTAGCCTGATCTGAAATCATTCCCTCATCATGCCGAAAACCCGGGTTCGATTCCACACTTGGGTACAATGTTTGAAACCCATTTCTGGTGTCCCCGCCGTGATATTGCTGGAATATTTCTAAAAGCGGTGTAAACCCAACTCACTTTTTAACTCTGGTCATGTTCCACATGCTGTGTTCCACCAATAACACTTGCAATAACTTTTCAAATGAGCATTATTATCATACATATTACCATACACAAGCTGAACTTGAGTATAGTCCTGTTTGCGGGCAACATACTATGGGGCGCTTAACCTTTTTTCACCAGTTTTGTACATCCATTAGGTTTGTACTAATACGCTTGACACTATTTACTTTCCATATTTAGTTAACTTGTAGTGATGTAACGAAAATATTAACTTAATTTCAGGTACTTTTCTCCATGTTGCATGAATATTTGAGATAGGTAAGGTCAACCGAATTGTCCGAAACACAAAGGTGAGCACAATAACAGTCGTCCATTGTTTAAACGGGTGAGTTAGTACAGCCATGCTCCACCTAGGTCCCGATCCACGAATCGTTCGTAACGTTACGACCTGTCGTAACTCTATAGTTTATCATGACGTATAATGCTACGAATTCTTTCTGGATCGAGACCCATGCCTCAAGAGCTGTGCATATCAAATGATCGTTTCTGAACAATTTCTATTTCCCTGATCTCTGCAGTGAGTCACTCAGTCAACATGACACTGCAGTGACGTGTGTATTCAATTGGGTTCACCGTGTATTTGTTGTGAGAAGTGGATGGAGCGGATGTGGTGGGTCAGAGACCGTGCACATTCGTATTATCCTGTCCGACGGTACTGGCGTGATACCAGCGGTGAGGTGAAGAGTGGTGTTATAGATATCAAGCGTTTGAAACCTATTCACAAAACATGAATGTTTGTGAAATTACGGAGTTCGCGCTATTTCAGTCTTAGTTGCAGTGTTATAGCATCCGCATCCTGAATAATGACAGACTGTTCTGACAGGATTCAGTACTTTGGACGAACCGGACGTGTGCAAAGTCAAGTCGGCCGCTTTGGTAGCGTCACGTTATTTGGTATATATAACCGTGAGATCGCACTACATGGTGTTTATCGAAAACCAGCAACTCAACGATGCTATTATAGAGGACCTACTTGAACTGGCCCATCCCACATATTCAGAACGCAGTCAAACTCCGTTGTGTGGAAATTTGATGTGTCGAATTTACTACTGTTTCCAGTTGAACCATCCTTTTCCGATTCTGTCGAACCTCGTAAAATCTCGAAGGATTTGCAAAGGTCCCTTCAAGTTATACGGTCTTTGACTTTAGTTACTAATTTCCAACACTCGATCATGGACTATCAGTCATGCATCATCAATCATTTATCATCGATCATGCACTATCAGTCATGCATCAACAATCATTTATCATCGATCATGCACTATCAGTCATGCATCATCAATCATTTATCATCGATCAGGCACTATCAGTCATGCATCAACATTCATTTATCATATATCATGCACTATCAGTCATGCATCATCAATCATTTATCATCGATCATGCACTATCAGTCATGCATCATCAATCACCTAGTGGAACAAACGGTCAACCTTTTACACTGATTTTCTTATTGAGCTCCGTGTTCTGTAGTTTAGTGGTGAAAGTGGACGGTACCAACGCTACACACGACACAGGTAAGGAAACTCTGTGGCTTTTCACTTCCGGGTTTTGTTTCCATCGCGACTGACGGTATAGCCATCGTTATGAACCGACTACACAATTAATTCATGTGGATATTACAACAATAAAAAGACAACACCAAATACAAATGAAATGTACAGAAACCATTTAAATCAGTAACACATCGGTATTCTTTGCAAATGGTACCGTTTCTATTATGCTCATGACATTTATCATGACAGTCGATATACTCCTTTGGATAATAAAGACTGCTCCTTTGTTTAAAAGGACATTTCTTAGATCATAGAAGGGTCGTGTTTAATGTTTAATATCAAAAAGGTTTCAATATTAAAAGAGTCGTGTTCCACACAGCGATCGTGGCACTAAGGTAATAGTAACTCCTATACGAGCGCTTTGTAAAACACGGCACTGTATAACGGCGGTCTGTAAATATACTGCCCCAAATCGGAATCTGGACCAAACAATCCAGTGATTGACATCATGAGCATCGATCAACGCCATTGGGAAACGACAGCATGCACCAACTGATTAATTAAACCTGACCACCCGATCCCGTTAGTCGACACTTCGACAAGCTGAAGACCATTTCTATCCCCTATCTTCATGGGTATAACATGAAATAAGCCAATATCTACTGATTTTGTTGCCATTGGTTAGGTGGTTATTGTCACTTCTCATTTGTGTACAGGGCCTGACGGGGTAGCCTAGTGGTTAAAGTGTTGGCTCGTCACGCCGAAGACCCGAGTTCGAATCCCCACAAGGGTACAATGTGTGAAGCCCATTTCTGGTGTTCCCCGCCGTGATGGTGCTGAAATATTGCTAAAAGCGGCGTAAAACCAAACTCAGTCAGTCAGTCAGTCATTTGTGTACACAGTTAAATTCAAGGTCAGTGAATTAGATTCATGGTTCAGCGTTTTAACGAACCAGAATTGAGGCATAATCAATTCGTCAAACATGATCTGTCAATATTATTTGTTACCATGGTGGTGAATGGATCTCGTGTCTTTATCATGGCATGGAGTCTATGAGATTATCATGCGTGAAATCAGTCAATATTCTTTGCTACTCACCATGTAATCTTATCTTCAGCAACTTTCTTAGAGAGATCGGAAACAATAGAAGTAGATTTGTAACTGTGCCAGGATATATTCATATCGACTTGATTGCATGTGACATGGTAGACCACAGCAATATGCAATATAATAATAGGGTATTTCTATTTAACTTTTTCCAGGCTTTTTCGTCTAAGGGCATAATTAGACCAGTCAAAGGATCATATCAGCTTCCTGATGAGCATACAATATAAGCTGCGTGCCATGCGTTATGCGTTGAAAGGTTGACTGCCCCATTGTCTCCTCATACTTCCGGGTACCCATGCACTGCTGGGTGAACAGAGGCATATTTCGAACAAAGCCATATGCTGAAGGAGACGCCGCGTGTTCCGCGTGATCGCCAATGTCGGACTGAAGCCTTACAAACATACAGGAGCCAACCTGCCAATCCAGGTCAATCCATGACCAACCTTTCTTAACTTCAACTGATTTGAGCGCTGTGCGCAGGACCACGTGCTTCAACTTTATCACATATCAGCAGTTTCACTCCGCATGTTTTATGCCACTGTCGCGTCACATTTCTTTCCTTATGGACTTTGCTTTACGCAGTACATGTTTAACTATACTGATGTACAAAAGAAAGTATACACCTGGTGTTTTGAGACTTTCAAAAAACCGTAAATATTTTGCTGGGAATATTCGAGTTGGGCACGATATCTATGGTGTTATTGCAACACGTACACAATGTTGGTGACTTGTGAGTCACAGCCAAAACACTTTTCTAAATATTACGCTGTTTTTAGGAATACATTTTACCAAAGCTTCAGGTGTGTACTTTCTTTAGTACGTCAGTATAGATGCCGTGAATACAGTCATTCTTATTTCCCTGTCAGGGGGAACAGAAATGGTTGAAATTATTATAATAATTCATGTGAACTGTTATTGTTATGTTTGTTTTCGTTTTGTTTCCCGTTGCTGTAACGCCATCGACTCACAGGTCATCAGGTCAACACAGCCATGGCATTCCTGCTGTTTTTACTTTTTTCCTGATAGTTTTAAACGTTTTACAGAAATGAGTTAGTGAGTGTGTTTAGTTTCACGCCGCACTCAACAATATTCCAGCTATATGGCGGCGGTCTGTAAATAATCAAATCTGGATCAGACAATCCAGTGATCAACCTCATAAGCATCGTTCTACGCATTTCAGATACGATGACGTGTGTCAGCCAAGTCAGTGAGCCTGACCATCCGATCCAGTTAGTAGCCTCTTACGACAAGCAGGGGTTACTGGAGATCAATTTAAGCCGGGTCTTCACGTGTTTTTGCACAAATTAGTTTTTGTTTAATTTGGTATTGACATCCTATGACGCAAACACCTGGCCGATAAATTTTGAACAATTATTCAATGTTGTGCTATATACGTGAGATGAAGGTTAGATGTACAGGGAAGATGTACAGGGAAGTGACATTCGAAAATACACCGAGTAAGTCACTGCAGGGCATAGCCTGCTCGTCGACATGTTAGTGTGGAGAATGAGGATCAACCCTGACCATATGTGTGTGTTGTTTAACGCCACACACGGCAATATTCAAGCTGTATGACAGTGGTCCTTTACAGATCGAGACTAGAGCAGTCCAGTGATTGACATGATGAGCATCAAGCTACACAAATATATAAAAAAAACTGTCCACCAAATACCCATGTTACAAGTATGGGTTGCTGAAGCCCAGCTAATCCCGGATCTTCTCGGATGCTACGTGCATTTATTACCCACGTGGTTAACGTATGGCTAGTTGCATACTAATATCGTACGTCACACGAGTGTCGTATCGCGTTGACCTGACCGTAACGTTAACGACTTGACCTGAGATTCTAACGACTGGATCGGATAACCGATGACCTCTCAATTAGGTCACGTTGTGACGGAACTACTTTCTCATTCTTATGAAAAACGTGAATTCTTTCATACAACTTTTACTACGTCAAGACCGCTAAATGTTCCATTTTAAAAACTCACGCTGACGCTTTCGGTTTTTAAATTATATTTAGCGGTCTAAAAACAATGATATTTAAAAGGACCGCAAAAATTAAAAACAGAGTAGTTTTGTCTTCTAAGCAAGGCATTGTAGAATTGCTGTTATTAAAATTTGAAAGCGTTTTCACATATTTTGTCTTCCTTATTATGTAAAACGGGTGAGAATTATATACAACTGCGCATATTCAGGAAAGTCAAAGAAGTGCAAAGGTTAGTCATCAACAAAATTCTTCCGCAACCGGTTTCGGTTTGAAAGCATAAAAAATACGCTATTTTGTCAATTTTATGCAGGTAATACGTGGGTAATAAATAAAATATCACACTCGGTCTCATTACATACGAATTTGCGAGACTGGTGTCCTTCATATATATAGTCATCACATTATTCACTATTTCGAAGAAAGTGATGTGTAAACACATCACAGAAACCAATACAGTACATAAGGAGTACTGACCACCCGTGCACAGCAACATATCTGTGTGACTGGCCGTCTGCATGTAGAACAGTCAGTCTGTTGATGTCTTAAAACACATAACTGAATCTGTCCACCATCCATTCTTCGTGTAGTCATGTCTTCAACATCGGCTACATCTGTGCCGCCTATGTCGTCGTCGTTTCCTTGACATCCCTATCTTCTTTCCTATTCCTGAAACAGAAAAGAAAAAAGAAAATATTTCTTTACATTCATTACCGAACCTTTATCCTGGGTAACATGTGCCCCCCCTTGGCGAAGAAAACTTTTACTGCACAGAATTGGTTGGTTGGTTTGCTGCTTAACGCTGCACTCAGCAGTATTCCAGCTGTATGGCGGCGGTCTGTAAATAATCGAGTCGGGACCAGACAATCCAGTGATCAACAACATCGATCTACGCATATGGTGTACGACGACGTCAAGTCAGCAAGCCTGACCACCCGATCCCGTTAGTCGCCTCTTACGACCAGTATGGGTCATTGAAGATCAATTCTAACCAGGATCTTCACGGGTTACTGCACAGAGAGACAGTTCTATGTTTAAATGATATTTATTGTCGTAATAAAGGACACATATGGAAACTCATACTAACGGTTGAAATAACAGACAGCCACGACACCCGCCGCAATCACCAGAAAGCACACGACAAAGATGAGTATAGCTGCAAATAGAAGCGGGAAAACATTTCCATTAGGATAAATATAGAACGCAAATACCAGATCATATCTGCCGAAACAGATTCTAATGGGCGCAGAGAGCAGATACTGTGAACATATTGTTGAGTGAGTGAGTGAGTGAGTGAGTGAGTGAGTGATCGTTATGATTCTCAAACATACACTTACGGAAATATAACATAAAGATGTACTGTCTTGGTCACGAGTGAGTGAGTGAGTGAGTATGGTTTTACGGCTCTTTTAGCAATATTCCAGCATTATTATGACGGGGGACACAAGAAATGGGCTTCGCACACTGTTCCCATGTACGGAATCGAACCCAGGTCTTTCGCGTGATGAACGAACGCTTTACTCACTCGGCGACCCCTCCGCCCCTCCTTGCATGAACACCAGGTGTCCGCTTTAAGGGTAGCGCCCGCTATTAATATAGCTTGCATTATAAGGTGAGTGTTTGTTGCCTAACACTGCGGAACCATATTTCCAACCTAATGCTGCTGTAACATAAGCTTGATATTTTTGTGTGTTTACCCCCATATTTAACAACGGTTCTACGGCTCCATGGGTTCAGATGTTATAAAATCAAACCAGAGAACTGATTTTAACATATGTTTAATTTTCAGTTGAAAGAGTTTTATACATTATATGTACATGGATTTATTTATAAATGCATTTATCATGCATTTAAAACTAGTTTTAGTCACGATATGGCTGAAATATTGCCCATGTGACTTAAATCGTAACTCACTCACTCACTTTACAAACTGCGCACAAATGAGCGATGGTTTAATAAAGATAATTATATAAACTTCGTTTTTTCTATTAATTACATAAAAACAAACTGGGTATTCTATCTTTCGCACGTCAGATTATGTTCGTTATGGAAACATTCTTATATCTATATTCTAGACTTCGTGTAAACCAAATCATAGCATGTAGGGCTTTGGCTATATCCAGATCCATTGCAGATTTAAATGGATTTACAGTTTTCGGTTTCATTACCAACCCTACATTTCCTACATTAGGACTATGAGAACCCCCACCCAACCACGACCCCGGCACACACAATATAAAATGGAGGAACCCAGAGATCAACATCACAACATTAATGTTTCTATTATATAATAGTACAGGTAAACACTGGGCATCAACTAGACACCTTCAAAATAGCTTAATCAACTAGTAAGCTGCCCCCGTCCCCTACCACCGTTGTAGGTATTGGTAATAGTTCGGGAGCGACATACATACTTCTGTGAGTATAGGAGAGATATGAAGAGGGTGGTCTGGTGGTAGGAATGTTTTGAAGTATTATTTCACTGAAAGGCTCTGAAAGTAGATAGAGTGAATGAGTTACATATGGCTTGTCGCTGTAACAGAATACAGGTTACACTAACAGGGAAATACAACAGGGTGCATGTTTTAGACAATTCCCAGCCCAGAGAAGCTCACGAGTTTGTATGACAAATCACGAACCACAATGAATGCGAACTCGGAACACACAGGAACGAGCACTCACACACAGACACAACTAAGCACACAGGAACGAGCACTCACACAGAGACACAAACTGAACACACAGGAACGATAAGTCACACACAGACACAACTGAACACACGGGAACGAGCACTCACAGACAGAAAAAAATAAACACACTGGAACGAGCACATATAAGCACACACACGAATGAGAACTCACACACAGACACAACTGAACACACGGGAAAGAACTCACACACATTCACAACTGAACACACGGGAACGAGCACTCACACACAGACAACAATAAAAACGCACATGCTCGCATATACAAACAAAAAGACAACTCAAGCGTATTTTCACTTACTAACAGACACATACAAACACACACGCACGCACACGCACACGCACACGCATGTACACTCATGCACAAACATTCACCAGTACAAACAATATGCTTGATATGTATCCGTCGACTTACAGAAGTGGATTCAGTACAGAGACAGCTCTCAACAGAACATTAAACGATTTGATGACCAGTTTGGATGATGGAAATGTTGCGTTTTTGCTCCTGTTAGATCTATCAGCGGCATTTGATACTGTTGACCACACCTTGCTAATAGACTGACTTCATACTGAATATGGTTTAGACGTCGTTGTTTGGACTGGTTCAGCTCGTATCTGACAGACAGATACCAGAGAGTTAGCATTAATGCTACATCATCTGACAACACTCTTTTGACTTGTGGTGTACCCCAAGGTTCGGTACTGGGTCCGGTTCTATTTACGCTTTACAGCAAGCAAACCTCTCAAGTCATTAGTAGCTGTGCCATCAATGATCATTTTTATGCTGATGACAAACAATAGTTTTGCTCTTGATGACCAGTCACAGGGGCCAGGACTAAGTGCGATGGAAAGTTAGCGCCTGGATGGAAAGTTAGCGCCTGGATAGTTAGCCATACATCCAAAGTTAGCACCTGGATGAACGCCAACATGCTGAAGTTAAACAGCGATAAGACAGAGTCTTTGCTCGTAGGACCCGACAAAAGGCTGCTTAAGATAAAAGAAACTCATATCACAGTCGACAGTGATGAAATCAACTTTTCGACAGATGTTAGAAACTATGGTGTGAAGCTAGACTCATCACTCAACATGGACAAGCACATCAATAACCTCGTAAAAAATGCTACTTTCACCTCCGAAACATAGGTAACATACGCCACCTTCTGCAGCACTTGCACGTTCAATGATCCTGGTCAGGATTGACTGTTGTAATAGTCTGCTCCAGCGTAACAAATCAGAAGGCTGCAAAACATCTCAGCGGTTAGAATTGTCACACTGTCAAGAAAAGTCTTGTCACATCACTCTAGTACTCGGGTATCTCCACTGGCTGCCGGTCAAAGAACGGATACATCATAAAATCCTTACCCTCACATATCAGTGTATCAGTGATACAGCTCCTGCTTATATGTATGATTAAGTAGAAGACTATGTCCCTTCAAGAACTCTCTATTCCAGTGATCAAATAATACTAAAGGTCCCGGACATCAGGCTCAAAACATTTGGCGGATGATCCATCGAATATAATGCTGCCGTTGAATGGAACACTCTCCCATTTGATCTGAAATCAACTTCAACTTTAACTTGTTTCAAGAAACATCTCAAGACCTACCTGTTCAATAGAAATTGGTTGTAAACATGTGATATCTATGAACTCTGTTAGCGTTTTGAGCATACTTTGGTGTGGAGTTTAGCGCAATATAAGAATCCATATTATTATAATCATTACCTTTAGTAGTACCGCTATTACACCCTTGGTATGGCACATCTGCAACTATAGGAGGAAGCATTACCGAGATAAAATTGAGTTCATACATCTAACAATGCACTTATTGATACAGTAAGTACTAGGTACAAAAACGTTGGCATGATAACACTATGTATTGATAATACGAATTATGTTCTGTATGTTACCTGTTTTGCCATTGCATTTCAAAATGTATTGCATCGGTTCCCAATTGCGCAGTTTAATGCTCATGCTGTTGATCACTGGTTTATCTCGTCCAGACTTGATAATTTACAGACTGCCGCAATATAGCTGGAATATTGCTGAGTGCGGCGTAAAACAAAACAAACTCAATCACTCAAAATGTATTGCGTTGGACAAGAGAAACGGTTGACATTTCTTTTAAAATTATACGCTCTACCTCTCTGGTTGGATAGGCACCACCACACCAACAAATACACGTAGAATGTTAGTAATAGCTACCAGATTGCGTCAACAAACAAAAAAACCCTACATGGATACTTACTTTTTCCATTGAAGATGAAATCAGCATCTACAAATCAAAGAAATCCACATATACATGTATACTAACAGATATTTTTTCATTTGTATTGACGAAAGTCTAACCGAGGCTGAACATATTAAACCTTGTTGGACTTTTCCAGCTGTCCATAGTGTAGAAGTACGTGTGCTATTACTCACCAGATGTCACACGGCAGACAAAGTAATGTTTCTCTTCACAGCTGTTGTCGATGCGGATATGTTCTTTGGACAAAACAGGACAGGCCTCGGTTTCATTTTCTGAAAAAAGTGCAATTACTAGCGTTTAACAGCGATACAAATACAATCCAGCCTCTGGTACTTATATCACTGACACATACAAACGTTAATGCATGTATAAAGCACTTTATTGTTCAGGTGACTGCTGCACAAAGTAGCGCTACGATGATCTGAGATCCGCTTTGTGGAACGAGGCGCATGACATCATCCTGTGCAGAGACAGAGGTCTGAAATTAAATCCCCGACTAACAGCTTTTCAACTGACCTTGGGCGTCTGCAAGTTATAGGGCCCGTAAGTAAGTCACGGCACTTCGGGAGAACTTAGTACTTCCCGTGGCAAACACGTTTCATACCTTTTCAAAAGGTCTCATGGTGGTCAGTTGAGAGTAAGGAACCCACAATTCTTGCAGGAATAACATATCTAACCATCCCTTAATTAGCCAACTAATACATCTGCCAACGGATGTGACAGCTGAGCATGGTTGTACACCTGGTCCGGTCTAGTAAAGTCATATCTGGCGGTCGGGCAATTTGGAACCTGAACTGGTTCTTGAATATATTATTGTCACCAGAAATCTAGTACCGGAAGCTGGGCCCCGTCTCGAATATCGCAAATGGTCAAGCGCAAGGGGAGACGGGAACCAGCTGAGCACCGGAAGTAGCGCCTCACAAGACTTACAGGCCCTAGATTGGTGACTGTATGAAGAACCTCCCAAGATATGCCGCTGTTATAACAATAGTGACGTCAGAGAACACATGCGACGACGTCACAAAAGGGAGGGTGAGCATGACGATGAGCAAGGGAGGTCAGGGGCGAAGAGAATATAAGTTTGTCGACCGTGTCCTGAAGTTGTAACTTCTCTGTCTGTGGAGACATGACATATAAAGTTTACGTATTCACCTTGTATCTTCTTGTCGAGCCATATCGTCGCGTGTTCTTCAATGGCCAGTTTGTTGACATATCCCCCATAGCGGTGCTTCAGGTCAGACACACTGTACAGCACTCCCCCTTTTTCAGCACATGTCTCGTTGGCTGAGATCCATGTCTTGCGTTCACAGGACGATTCAAAGGCAATTTTACCTGCAAGATAACATCAGTTTTATATAGTACTGGTGTTCTATAGTACTTCGGTACTTCACTCACATCTCCTATCCCTTCTAGACATGCAATGTACTAGTAGTCACACTTGTACCTTGATTTACCGAATAATATCCGTCATATTTTCACACTTTGTTTATCAATGTACCGCAACACTCTCGTCTTGTATTCGCAATGTGTTCGCACTGTATTCACTGTGTTTATGGATTTAATACATTACATCTGTCATGTATTTACTCTTTATTAATTTCCGTATTATATCCGTTTTGTATTCACACTATGTTTATTAACTACTCTGTCGTCACACAACATTCACATTACATCCACAGTACATTCACTCGGCCGTCACACAACATTCACATTACATCCACAGTACAATCAATCTGTGGTCACACAACATTCACATTACATCCACATTACAATCACTCTGTCGTCACACAACATTCACATTACATCCACAGTACAATCAATCTGTCGTCACACAACATTCACATACATACATACATACATACATACAGACAGACAGACAGACAGACAGACAGACAGACAGACACACGACACATACACCACATACATACATACACACACACACACACACACACACACACACACACACACACACACACATACATACATACATACATACATACATACATACATACATACATACATACATACATACATACATACATACATACATACATACATACATACATACATACATACATTTCTCCCGATGGTGCTGGGTATATTTAAGACGCTCGTTAATGATAAATCTTCTAAAGTATTAAAATACAGCCGTGATATTATCCATACTGTTGTTGTTTTTATGTGAATGTGATATAAAATCTACCATGTAGACCACGTGACAAATGACACTCTGCAGTCAGCTTCATTACGTGATGTCTGAAGTACGGAATAAACTGTCTGTCCGTGAGAGAAATGACAATCAGGACACGCCCGTGACACAATGGTTACATATCACTGACAAAATCCTTTTTGTGACATTAACACATTACAATCACAATCCTGACACAATCACAACACACTCGTGACATAACACAATCAAAATCACAATCCTGACACAACACACTCGTGACATAAACACAATCACAATCCCGACACAATCACAACACACTCGTGACATAAACACAATCACAATCATGACACAATCACAACACACTCATGACATAAACACAACCCAATCTAAATCCTGACACAATCACAACACACTCGTGACATAAACACAATCTCAATCCTGACACAATCACAACGCACTCGTGACATATACACAATCACAATCCTGACACAATCACAACTCACTCGTGACATAAACACAACACAATCTCAATCCTGACACAACCACAACACACTCGTGACATAACACAATCAAAATCACAATCCTGACACAACAACACACTCGTGACATAAACACAACACAATCATCACGATCCTGACACAACCACGACACACATATCACTCGTGACATATACACAGTTCATTCATCACAATCATGACACAATCATGACACACTCGTGACATAAACACAACACAATCACCTTCATCACAACCCTGACACAATCACAACACGTTCGTAACATAAACACAGCACAATCACAATCACGACACAATCATCACAACCCTGACACAATCAGGACGCACTCGTGAAATAAACACAACACAATCACGACATCCACGCACTCGTGACACTGTTTTCAATTACTGGAAATTTCACAAAGTGAAAGCATGTACCACTGTAACGAACCGCCCACATGATAACGCCAGACACAACATGGCAAAGTCACGAATGGAAGCTTTGCTAAATGATACTCACCAAAAGAAATAGTCCGTGTGTATATAAATTTTGTGTATACCAACAACAGCAACACAAGCACAAAGAAAAACCGTTTTGCGAGTGTTGAGCCTGCAAACATACTTTGTGTCAGTAGTTCCAAAGTTTTAACATTAATCGAAATGCTCAAAAATATTTCCGGGGTTAAGTCATGATTCTCTGTAAATGTAGACTGTGAGTCGTTGTGAAACTCGTTGTGATGAGACGGGGCTGGGTAGTGTGTCGTAACTCCCCGATCAGTGAGTGAGTCATCCCCAGTAAGGTGGTCTAACTTGGGTTGTTAGTGGTTTATAGCCTGGTTTTAATTGATGACAATGAATTAATTGATTATCATTCTGTGTTAATTTCCATGAGGACAACATGTGATATACCTAACTATATATTTTAATGTCCTTTGTGGACAGATATTTTACAAGGAATACCTTGTTTTCATGGCTATATGGCTGTAATATTGCCGATGCCATGTACAGTTTTAACTCACTCACTCATTGGGTTTGATGCAACTTTCAGTAAAATCACGAGACGAAGGATAGGCTCCACACACTGTAAATATTTCATTAATCGAACCCGGCCTATCGTGAAAATTCAGAATCCCGTACAGAAACGTATTTTTGAAAAGTTTGAGTTAGTGAGTGAGTTTAGTTTTTCCCCCTCTTTTAGCAATATTCCAGCAATATCACGGCGGGGTACACCACAAATGGGCTTCACACATTGTGCCTACGTGGGGAATGGAACCCGGGTTTTCGGCGTGACGAGCGAATGTTAAACCACCAGGCTACCCCACCGCCCGTTGAAAAGTTCGAAAAATGATTGGTGATTTGTACGAGCAATCGTAATTGTTTTAGTTTTCCCCAAATAATTACATTAAGGGGTTAGAAATGTTATCGGCGTTATTCTGTCCCCACATCAACAGCGCCATAAGGTTGGTGATTAAAAACTGGTTTGTCTGTCAAGAGTGATGTACGAGGTACAGACACAGCACTGCAACGGCGTAAAACAACATTTACCCACTCACTCCAATTCCCCATCTATTGGTGTCTATTGTTAACCTTTCGTTCTGTCAACAACAAGGGTGGTTGGGTTCAGGGTTGGTGAGTTTCAAGTGACGGTGTGAGGCCTGAGTGAATCCCATGATCGATATAAAAACGATGGCGAATAAGTGAAAAATCCACACATGCCAACAGAATGTGCTTGACAGTTATTGAACTGTGACAATTAGTGAGTGAGTGAGCGAGTGGAGAAAGTGAGTTAGTGAGGTGCTTGACAGTTATTCAGCTGTGACAATTAGTTAGTGAGTGAGTGAGCAAGTGAGCTAGTGAGGTGCTTGACAGTTATTCAACAGTGACAATTAGTGTGTGAGTGGAGCGAGTGAGTGGAGTAAGTGAGATAGTGAGGTGCATGACAGTTATTCAACTGTGACAGTGAGTGAGTGAGTGAGTGAGTGAGCGAGTTGGGCAGCGGAATGGTAAGCGAGGTGGATGAGTGGGTATGGGAAGAGCTACTTTGGCTTAACTCCGCACCAAACAGTATTTCACGTCTTGAGGTAGTCACACGACTCTTTCCGAACATGAAACATGTTCAGAATCTAAACTCCACATCAATCGTATTTAGTCCCTATTGGAAGAGTTTGAAAGGATTTGTCAACGATGGGCTCAATGAGTGTACCACGTGAATATCAACCTAACGTAAGGATTCCCACGCTCCAGGTTGCGCGTACAGTAACAGCTGCATCCTCTACTTCCTGGTTGGGTAAGCCACAGTCTAACATGTGAAACTGAAACGCGTTCTGTCACAATGGACACAGATTAGCATAACTGCATAACTGGTGAATCAAATGGTATGTCCCCGATCTTATTCACGCCACAGTCAGTGTTCGAGAGAGTCACTTTTATATGAAGATGAGAGCAATTTACAACTCTTGCTTACAGTGGTGATACCATTCGTCACCACTCGCCCCTTTCCGTACCCTCCAAGAATAACACGAGTGGGTTACGAATGTGGCGGGCGATACGGATGACAGGCGGACTTGTCTCCCTTAGGAATGTCAGAAACCTGAAATGGTTGTGTGTTCGAATAATGATTATGATTGTCAGAATTATACCAGTGTTTGCAGGGGCGGATACAGCTTTTTGAGAAGGGGGGGAGGGTGTTTGTGCACACTATTGAGAAAAGGAGGGGTGCACACTTCATTTTCACCCAAGTTTCAACGGTCATTTAACAAACTTTGAGCACAAGGGGCGGTGGGGGGTGCGCACCTCTGCAACCCCACCCCCCACCTCTCTGGATCCGCCTATGGTTTGCTAGTTTCAGCATAGTGGTAAACGCCTAAGACTTGGATCACTTCCGGGTGACGTCCCACATTCAGCAGAGATCTCGTCATACAACTGGACATACGCGTCATTAAACCATATTCACTCACTCACTTAAAAATATTTACGCGCAGTCATCCATCAGTGACAATAAGGGTACCTACATTCAATCATTAATCATTACATTGATTACCATAATAAGATGTTTTTGTCATCGTATGATAGTTATGAAAGATGTACAGCGCTGATTATCTTGGTCCCGAGTGAATGACTGAGTATGGCTTTACGCCGCTTATAGCAATATTCCTTGGTGGGGACACCCGCAATGCGCTTAACATGTTGTACTCATGTGGCGAATCGAACCCGGGTCTTCGGTCTGACGAGAGAACGCTTTAACCATTGGGCTACCCCTCTTAGTCCTGAGATAACATTTTACCGAGAGCATTGCAACGTTTTCACGTTTGACCCCAGCAATGCAAAGGGAGTGTGATTTCAACACTCAGATACATGCATTCATAAATGTGGCATATTTATTATTTGCCTTCTTCAGTTTACAAAATGAGATATATTTTTGAGTTTCACTCCTTTTACATACTAATATACTGGATCTTTCTTGTAAATTCATATAAACTCCCTCTCTCAAGATATACATTATTATAAATTCAATTTCAGCCAGTTCGCGGTAAATTGTATCACGTCGTTCCTGCATTAAACATCAACCTGTCATGGTGTCAACAGTCCTCGTCAGCCTAGTTGCCATTATTAGGTGGACTGATAAACATAGAAGCATCAGCAAAATCAGTAATCATTGTCGTATGCCACAGTAAGAAAATAGCAATACCGCGATAATGGAGAGTTGCTTCAATTTCACGGTCAAACGAGACAATCGGAATTGCTGCAATGGTATTACACGAGTTGCGACTATGTGTCACATTATTTGTGACAGAAAAGAAGATTAAACATCAGTCAACTGAAAATATATCTGTAATGCTAAATGTCAGTAGCCGTTCATAATCCCGATGGCGACAACATTAACCACCGCGATAGCGTCCCATGATAAATATCAACCTGTGGTGTTGTGAACAGTTAACCTGTTAACAGTTAACCCCTCACCACTGTCCTCGTCAGCCTAGTCGCCATTATTACGTGGACTGATAAACATAGAAGCATCAGCAAAATCTCCTTCCTCAGTAATGCTGAGATCAGCATGTGCACTATAGATTCTGCAAAGATTAATCAGTAAACATGGTCGTATCCCAATTGCGTAGATCAATGCTCATGGATTGTCTAGTCCAGACTCCATTATTTACAGCTCGCCGCCATAGAGCTGGACTATTGCTGAGTGCGGCGTAAAACAGCAGACAAACAAACATAATAATACATTATATATACACAACGAATTGCACAGTAAGTATTTACAGGACATTTCCAGCGTATTACATCAATATAAGGGGAGACAGCATCTTGTTGACACGATTGCATTGCATCGTTTCCCAATCGCTCATGATGCAATCACTGTATTGTCTGGCTCAGACTCAGTTACCAACAGACTGGTGGTGTGCGGCGTGAACAGTTGCGAAACAAATACGCACCAGAACAATGTTGGGATAAGAACACAAAGCTTAAAACGACAATTTCAAACACATTTTACGACGCTTCGATAGACTGCAGTATCGCGCCAATTTGCAAACAAACGTGCATTGCACCATATATAACGCAATTAACGCAAACTCCACAATTCAGCTTCAGTTATATCAAGATTGTGAATTTATCGCATATGCCGCATCTTATATGATTAAAATATTATTAGACGAATAAAGGTGATGAAAAGTATTTAAAACAGATTTTTTGGAATGAAATTACCAAAGATATCTACCATGATTGAATGCTAATGTAAGGTAAGAGGTTCCATTTCTGCAAATAGTTTTGTTGTTTCTATTCCTTTTCAGTACAATTAACCCACATTCTACCTGAATTGATGTTTCCAAAAGTACCAAGATAAGTATAGACCTAGAGGCGTGGTTCCCAATTAGCGCCAATTAGCAATCAAACGTGCATTGCACCATATATAACGCAATTTAACGCAAACTCCACATCCGCCTGAAACGATATCCTACTTGTGTTCATATCGCTTCACGGAAGTTAAAGAATCAAAACTACTTACTAGTTGTAGTAAAATATGTATATGATTGATGACCATAAAGATTTTCAATGACACAACTTGTAACATAACGATTTCTTCCTCGCAAGCGACACGCCGAAGACTCGGGTTCGATTCCCCACATGGGCAGAATGTGTTAAGCCCATTTCTGGTGTCCCCCGCCGTGATATTGCTGGAATATTGCTAAAAGCGGCGTAAAACTAAACTCAGTCAGTCAGTCCTCGCAAGCGAGGTTGTGGTCGAAGTGACAATAATACTGTAAGTAGTATTATATTGACACCCACCTCGCTTCCACGAGAGAAATTGTTCCGTGAAGCGATATGAAGCGATATGAACACAAGTAGGATATCGTTTCAGGCGGATGTGGAGTTCGTGTTACTGCGCGATAAATTTCTTGCTGCATTCACGTGGTTAACGTCAACTCACCAGTATGTAGATATTAGTCCAAGTACGTCTTTATATTTGGTCCAAATTAGTTTATTATCATACTTGTATGCATTTTGAAATTAAATATAAAGGTGGCGATCTGCTGATACGTATAATGAATTTATAACAGGACTGTAATATCCAGACATTTTATCGTTTACCAATGTGAATCATAATTCGCACACACGCCCCAGTGTGTTGTCTGTCTCATTGCACTTCACGGCGAAAACAATGATTATGTTGAA